GGCCCAGCCGCTCCGCGGCATGTGGGATCTTCCCGAAACGGGGCACGAACCCGCGTCTCCTCCGGGAAGGGGGGGGGGGGGGGGGGCGGGGGCAGTGATGTCTTTGACCACATGGACAGAAAAACACATCCTAGGGAACGGCAGACTGACAGATAAAAGTAATGTGGAACTTGAATAACCAAGTGCAGCCAATCTACTTACCAGCCATGAATATCCATCTACCTCTGGACTATCACATAACACTGATATCTATCTTGTTTAGCCACTTTATTTTTTCAGCTTTTTGTTATGGTAGTTTAACCTATTACTAATATAACGTATTACTGAGGGAAATGAACTTGTAGTCCCTATCTTTACTATCAATAAATAGTAAACATGCCACAAAGGCATAATTTGGGTGTAACTTTATCATTCCAAAGAAAGGTATAGAACAAAATATATTAGGGATTACTTCTAGTAACAATGACAGAGTATGAACATCTGCCTTCATCTTTACTCCCTCCTTAAAAATCTCCATAGTGTGATGGGATTTTTTAAGTCACCAAAAGTATGGAGAACAGGATAGGACACAATAGCATTGAATTTTGAAAGCCAGAAAGCAGATGGAAGAAAAAGGATTTGACAAATCAGGAAAAGGCTAAATTACAAATGAGCATAAGAGAAAACTATGAAGCCATCTGATTTTACACCTAAGAACCATCAAAATGCCTAGGACTTAGAGGCAATAGGTGTCTTTGGAAATGGCAGGGGCAATATGTTAAAGAAACTAAAATAAGAAGGACTGATTTAAAGTTTGCATAAGAAGCACCTAGATGAACCCAAATCATTTCCATCACTATGATGGGCAACTGTCCCTGTCCCTCTCCAATCCTGTTAGGCTAGGGCTTATTTGCTAGAGAGACCTCTGGTCTGGGAGCATAAGCAGCTACTTCAAGTAGGGGAGTTAGGAGAACATTTACTATATGCTGAACCCTGAGATCTCTGAGCTGCCTTCCCACCTGGCTCTCAGAACTCTGGTAGCCAGAACTTTATCAACAAGCAGAAGATTAAAAGATTCTTTTCTGAGAAATCTAATCAGATCAAAATAGAAAACCTTTAAGATGACTTCAATTTCTTAAAGAACCAGCAAAGCCACATTAATCTACATCAAGGGCTTCACTGACAAGCCCCACCCACCAATGCAGAACTTCCCTGGCCCAGGATCACAGATACTTCAGACAACGCTAAATCTAAGAACCCAAATTAAAGAGGCAGGAAATAGTGAGAAAGACTATTTCTCACTATTCAAGGAAATACAAACTATAGAAACTATGAAGCGAAGAAAACAAAATCTTCTGGCAAATTTGGTGAACGCTGAGATACTGATAAATAGAAATTTAAACAGGAAAAAAAATTTATTGCCTACATAGAAAACAAAAAGCCTGTACAGGAAAAAAAAGCAATCATAATTTACTACATGGCTGGGCTCTTGAATCATGCTTAAAATGTCAGAATATAAATATCAAGTCTAATATAATCAAAATAATGACATAAAAAATACCCTGGGACGGTGGGGTAAAGGGAAGGGTGCACATGTGTGGTGGGCATACATGGATGAAAGAAATCAGCAGATAATGCCTGAAGTTAAAACTCAAACAATACAACAAGACAAACACTCTTTTTGGGAATATGAAGTAAATATTACACGATTCAGTTAAAAGTGGTTGCCTGTGGCATGAGAGAAACAGGGATTAGAGAAGTGGGGCTTGCTAATTTTCATGTCAAACCTAAGTTTTTCCTCTTTAAACTATGTTCATGTATAATCCTGATAAAAATTTTAAAACACTTATTAGAATAAAATTTTTTTTAAAATTTCCCCATTACTATAATAAGCCAAAGCAACAGTTTTTTATTAATGGCAAATAAACTCTGACTCTTGGTCATACTCTCAGTTCTGGAGTACACCTTTTTACATAAAGGAATGATTTCTATTTTCTGCCATATTTGGCATCGACTAGTCAAAATGTTCAAAATGTACTGCATTTATAGTTTTCCTCCCAGGGCTCTCATTTCTTTTTCTTTTTCCAGTTTCTCTCTACTCCTAAGCTGAAGACCTGTGGTCTCTGGAAAACTTTCATTCTAGAAGAAATCTGGGGGCAGAGCGGGGGGCGGGGGGAGAACCCAAAGAGTTAACAAAAAGATATACAAAGATGTTTCTTCCTGGGGGAAATTTGGTAGAGCACTTCTTTTCTGGCACGTATCCACTCTGGAAGTTTTCTTTAAAAAAGATTTTGCCTTTTGATTTACTGAAACAAGGAATTTATTTCTGTGATTACTGTGCAGAAGCCAGTGAGAAGTGATTACTCATGACTGTGGAAAGTCACCTGTTCAGAACCAGGCTTACATGAACAGTATGAGAATGGCTGTCTAATGATCTATTGTCTAAAAATGACAAGCCTACTTATAGCTTGGTATAAGTAATAATCTATAATTTCTAAGAATCTATATAAACAATACTCCTGGATTTATAACAGTGCTTTAGTAACTGAATCTCATCAATTATTAGAAGCATGTTAAATTAAGGAATAGTTTTTAAAATGATAACTGATAAACTATTATAAGATAAAATATCATTTATTGAAGAAAGTAAGAAATACTCTTTACTCTAAGGCATTATTGATTCTTTATCACTAAAACTGGTTTCCAGTACCACAATGAGAATGAAGCCACTAACATGAAAATATTTACTGCCTTAGTAAAACTGCAAAAAGGGGATTTTTATGAATTTTATCCTCAGTAGTTATATAACTACTGAGGCCACAGGGGGAAAAAAATGGCCACAGAGGGGGAAAAAAATGTTTACTTTATGATACCTACTATTTAAAAGTTTTCAAATGAGAGACCTCCAAAACTTTCACAACATTTTTGCAGGGCAGATGATAATTTATCTCTTTGTAAAATTTTGATAACAAGAAACCTCAACCTTGTTTTTGAATAAACTGCTCAAATCAAACCCAAACAAGAAACAATACCCTATGCTTTTAGAGAAATTTTCATGAAATATCAGCACATGAAAATGTTACTGAACAATAAAGGAAGAACTGATTGCCACTTAAGACAAAATGTTTCTGTTACCTTATGACTTACCTGAAGTTTTTCACATGGTCTTCCACTCCAGAAAGACGTATCGAATGCTGCAGTGCATTCAGGTAAGTCAGGGCTTGTGTGGAGGATCCCCAGTTCACATCTGTGGGAAGACAGTATTCATGCAGCAGCTTAATACCGGTTGTAACAAGTCATCAATAACAAGTACTTTCACATTTAAAAAGTCAATTGCTAAAATAAACTATTGTACTCAGGACTTTCAATAGTTCAAGTTCATGGCATGAAATTAAGACAATGCTAATCTGAACTACAATTACATTTTTTTTAAAAAGTACAACTTAGAAAAGACTGGGATGATAGGGCTGCAGACATGCTGTGCGTGCAACTCAAAATGAGCCTTTTACAAGTAAAGAAAACATTTAAAAATTACTGCTTATATAGCCAAAGGTCTAAAAGGAAAGAGGCAGATCTATGATTGTTATAAAGTACTATTTATAGTACTGAACAGTTTAAGTTATTTGAACAGGCAAATTTTACCTCTTACTGAATAAACAGTCTAGACACAAATGATGATTTTAGACATTTGTTACTTAGAGACTTAATAAGCATATTAGAGAAATAATTGTTTCTGAGATGATTAAAACAGTATCTTCTTTGTCCATTTCATTTCTAAAGCCACCATTGTAATCCAAAACTTCATTCTCTCATACTTAGATTACAAAATGTAATTACCTGGTTTTTTGTAGGTAACATAAATGTAAAGTCCAAGAACTATCACATATGTTAGCAATGCAGCCCACCAGTTAATGACAAACATCACTATGCAACAAAGAATTGCTCCAAGTAGTGATATCCACATGTTGTAGTATTTGAAGGCAGGGCGCCATCCTAACAATAACAAACAAAATAGATAAATAAAAGTCACTTGGATACCTCATCTGCTTTAGACAGTGGTACATACGTATGCACAAAATAAATTTCTCTGCGGCTGCTACACTAAAAGGTCTTTAAATGTGAACTATAAGGCTAATTATAACAGTGAAGTCATAGACCATTACTGATCACAACATCATGATTCTTGACAGCCATGAAGTGGGCACATCTATTTATGTCCACATTACCCTATCTTACTAGTTCTGTATTCAAAAAATTCCCTACCAAAAAAGTATAAATCAGCCTACCCCAGTGAATGCTAAAAACTAGAGAAGATTAAAACATTAGGTTTCAGGGCTTCCCTGGTGGCGCAGTGGTTGAGAGTCCGCCTGCCGATGCAGGGGACGTGGGTTCGTGCCCCGGTCTGGGAAGATCCCACATGCCGCAGAGCGGCTGGGCCCGTGAGCCATGGCCGTTGAGCCTGCGCATCCGGAGCCTGTGCTCCGCAACGGGAGAGGCCACAACAGTGAGAGGCCCGTGTACCGCAAAAAAAAAAATAAAAAAAAAAATAAATTAGGTTTCAAATTGAGTCCTTAATAGTGCGGTTTTATTTTCTGTGTTTTAGCAGGAGACACATCTATAAAACAATTCAAACTGTTCTTCAGAATCATTAAAAAAGTAATCTACTTGCTAGAAAAACTGTGAGTTGACTATAGAAACATACCTTCCCATTTGGGGAAGTATTTATGAATTAATAAGCTGACTCGAAAAACTGTTGAAGACTGTGTTTTAAAATTTTCATTCATAGGTAATTCCAGAGCCCAAAATACTATTTTTAAATCATTTCAATAAAACATATTCTTTTCTAAAATTAAACTTTTAATTTCGAGATAACTGCAGATTCACACAAAGTTGTAAGAAATAATACACAGAGATTCCAGACACCCTTTACCTAGTTTCTCCCAATGATAACATCTTGCAAAATGATATCACGATATCACAACTAAAATATTACTACAGTCAAGATAAGGAAAAGTCCAACACAAGGATCCCTTGTGTTGCCCTTTTATAGCCACACCCATACACACCTCTAAAATTTATATTCTTAAAGTAAAAACTGAAGCTAAGATGTTTGTGTCCTAAGTTCCCATACTTTATCTTTCCTTTTCTGAGAAACTTTTAGACCCTTAGAAGGAACAGTGCTTTTGTTCCTTATTTCCTTCTCTGATGTCCAATTGCTATCATGGTTTATAACAAAACCCATAAAAATGTATATGGAGTAATTTTTCAGTTGATAAAGACCCCTTATATTAGAACTCCACAGAACTCATTGTGTTAAAAATATTCCTGGATAGGTTAACTATATCATAATAATGTTCTTAGAACTGAAATAGCAATCAGCTGAATAAATAATAAAAGCAGAAAAAAGCAAAGTAATTCTTTCACAGTGTCAGAATTTAAAATTAACGCTATTTTAAATTCTTTGAAGACAAGAAACAGGCATTATTTACCAATAAACTTCATGATAAAGAGATCTTTGAAGACTCAGTTTGACTCAACTATAAAGGCAGAGCGAAGCACTCGTGAGCTAATTCTCCACATGCCATCTTTTAAAATGTGTTAAAGTTTTGTTTTCTTGGGCTTCCCTAGTGGCGCAGTGGTTAAGAATCCGCCTGCCAATGCAGGGGACAGGGGTTCGAGCCCTGGTCCAGGAAGATCTCATATGTCACAGAGCAACTAAGCCTGTGCGCCACCACTACTGAGCCTGCGCTCTAGAGCAAGCGAGCTACAACTGCTGAGCCCACGCGCTACAACTAATGAAGCCCACGTGCCTAGAGCCCACGCTCCGGAACAAGAGAAGCCACTGCAATGAGAAGCTCATGTACCCCAATGAAGAGTAGGCCCTGCTCGCTGCAACTAGAGAAAGCAACAAAGACCCAACACAGCCAAAAATAAATAAATTAAATAAATTTATATATATAAAAAAGTTTCATTTTCTCTAAAATTAGACATTACCACATTTACAGAACTTTTAAAAAAACGTAAAGTCACCTGGAGATTTTGCAAGTGATGCATGAAATACTGAAAAATTGATCAACGCATATGATGCAAGGAAGAAGTTAGAGATAATTGGAGCAATAACATTCAGTTCAGCTGCAAAGGAAACATGAAGCATATTTAACTGACATATTAGACCTTTTTTTTTCAAAACTATGAATTATTTCAAACCTGTAGATAACAGCATAATGAATACTCCTACATCCCCAAACCAGATTTAATGAATTTTGCCATATATACTTTATATACTTTAATTTTCAGAAATCATACCTTATGTCCACAGTAGAAGCCCCCTTTATACCTCAACTCATCAAAGTTGGAATATTCTTTCCAATGACATTTCGTTTTACTACACACATATATGGTCCAAAAGCATTGTGTAGCACTGTTCTGGGTGTTTTAGAAGTTATGTAAATTATATCATACTATGTTATCATCCTGTAATTTGTTATTTTTACATTTATTATATTTGAGATTCATCCATATTAATATATGAAAACCAAGTTTATTCATTTTTTTACTGCTGAATATTATTCTGCAGTTTCACTCTTCTGTTGATAGGTACTCAGGTTGCTTCCATTTATCACTATTATAATTAATGACACTAAGAATATTCTTATATATGTGAGTTTCTATAGGGTAAAAACCCCTAAAAAGAACTGTTGGATCACAGGAAACTTAACCAAATACATTCTTAAATATCACATGAGAGTTAGTTTCCAGTAGTATAATCAGACTTTTAATAAAAGTCCAAAGTCTTCTTGAGCAGTGAAAGACCCATTAGCTTCCTTACGATCAGAGGCAACAGTACCAAAAAGTAGATCGGCGGAGGTTCTACCTTCATGAAAGACACTGGAATCCTTTTCCTTATGCTATTATATTTGTTTTAGGGACAAGAACCTAAGAGTTCCCTCTAGCCCTAATGGAGAATTAGTGATGGTAAGAATTTTAGCAAATATTTAACAAGTGCTATTATTTGCATTATTTTCTAAACTCTCTTTCCTTTGATCAAAAAGAAACTAACTTAGTACTGCAGGCAAAGTAACATTTTGTTTATAATTTAACAATTCAGTGTTGACAGCTGATACTATAAATGCACCAAAATCTACATTAGCGTACATTTATAGACTAACCAATTAAGATGAATCCAAGTGCAATTAAGAATGTTAAGATGTAGCCACGAAGAGGTTCATTATTTTTCCCATAACCTTTAGCAAACATCTGGAAAGCAGGGTAGATGTTGTCCTTACATAAGGCCTAATGAAGAAATATAAACATTAAAATGAAATATATCGAAATAAGACATACAGATCTGCTTACAGTTACAATAGGTTAATCAGGAATGGAACCCAAGTTTCTAATTCTTGGTCCTCTTTCTTTCCCCTCATGCTGCTTCACCTACAAACTGTAAAGGAGACTCAAACATTTCTAGCATCAGAAAGACAGGAGGTTTAGAATACACTGAAGTTTTTATCCATTTTATTCCACCCCAGGCTGAAATTCTTATATGAATAAAGAGCCAAAGGAGCAGGCATACACATAGAAGAAATGTGGAACCTTGAGAAGTATGACAGACGTGTGACCTATTTTAAGAAAACCAAGTCCAAATCCTAGACTCAAAACAAATGAAAATCCTAATTATAAAACATAATCACCTTTCTTAAAACAATACTGAAAATAATTTTAGTAAATATTCTACACCTCTACTCTACTAACTAGCTACAACAAAAAATTAAGAACAGACAAAAAGAACAAAGGAAATTAAGAACAAAGCTGCAGAATCGATATCTCATTTGTTTTAGTAATAAAAAGTATTTTCTATCCAGTATCAGCCATTTATTTAATGCTCATTAAAGGGAGACAATGTCTATCATACTTATTATTATATCCTGAGTACCTAACATAATGTATAGCACGTATTAGACATTCAAATATTCATAAAATTAAACATTAATGTTGGCATTATGCTAATAGGAATAAGATACTTTAATTCTTTTGATTTATGGTCTTGGACTATACTTTTTATCCTTGGTAAGACATTATGAAAATTTATGCTAACAGTATGTCCATAAAGCAAAAATTCATCACCACTTCCAGAAAGACAACTCAAAACTTACACTCTGAGAGTTGAAATAGGCCAAGTGTTTATATATACACATCCACATTCATATGCATAAAATTAAATATGCTACTCTTGATATATGTGTTTGTATATGTCATATAAATATCAATACATGGGCTTGATAGAAGTAAACAAATCATTTAAAAATATTAAAAATCCCACATTTAAATATATTACCTTAATTTGTAACGTGAAATACTTACCTGAAATATTTTGGGCGCACTCACAAGGGATGCTAATGCAGAAGAAAGAGTAGCTGAAAAGATACCTGCAGAAATTAGTGGTGCAAAGCCTGACACCATGCTCATTACCTTAAAAAAGTGACAAAAATGGAAAAATAAGTCTTACATAAAATTCAAAAAAGAACACAACACTTCATCTTTATTATTCCTATGAAGAACACTAATAGTAATTCTGGGAGAAATCTGATAAAAATAACAATAGTAAACAGTAATAATGGTTACGTGCGTTACAAACTTCTGAAACTGATTTACCACCAGCCCTAAATGTAAAAAAACTTTTTATTTTGTAAAATGTCAAAGGCACACACAATGGCAGAAAGAAGAACATACTGAACTACAAAGTATCCATCACTCAGTTTCAACAGGGCCAATCTTTTCATTATTGTGAATTAAACCCCAGATCTCATTTCATGCATAAATTTTTGTGTGTACCTCTAATGCGTAAAAACCTTTAAAAACTGTAACTACAAAGTCACTGTCACAGCTTAAAAGCTGGGTAATTCCTTAACAGCATCAAATACCCAATCACATTCAAAATCCCCAAATTATTCCTCTTTTCTTGCTTTTTAAAAGTTTGTTCAAATCAGGATCCACAAAAGGATTACATTTACATTTGGTTGATATGTCTCTTAAGTCTTTTTCAATCTACAGGCTCACCCTTTCCTTTACATTTTATGATTTTTATGTCCTTTCTCCTAGAGAAACCCCACGCTCTGGATTTTGCCGACAATCTCCACTGCCTTGTTTAACTTGTTCCTCTCACCTCTATTTCTAGTCAACTGGTAGGTAGGTAGATCTAGACAAGTTGATCAGACTGAGGTACAAGTTTTCTGGCAAGAATATTCCAAGGTGGTTTGATATACTTCTGTCAGGAAGGTTGTTTCCTTTTTTTAAATGTTAAGATAGTAGATTGGTATTGTGGTTATGTTTTTTGTTTGTCTTTAAAGAGTACTTATTTATTAAAGCTAAAAGTAGAAATATCCAGCTGAAAGGATCTAACTCCAGGATTTGCCTCTAAATAATCTAGGAAGTGGGGAGTCACAAATAAAACAAAATTAGCCATGCGCTGATAACTGATGAACTTGGAAAATGTGTATGTTAGGTACATTATATTGCTTTCTTTATCTTTGTACATGTTCAAACATTTCCCTATGATGAAGTTTAAAAAAAATGGATCACTAACTTAGACAATGAGAAGGCAATCAAATAAATCCAAACAGAGGAGTATAATACAAAATAAATTGCCTGGACTCTTCAAAATGTCAACATCCTGAAAGGTTAAAACAGGCAGGCTGGGAACTCCTCTAGATTAAAGAATTTTAAAATAACTAAAGGCCATGGGTGACACCAGATTGAATCCTGGATCTGATAAAAATTGATCTGGGACATTACTGGTTGAAGAGAGGAAGTATGAATATGGAATATATATTTAGACAACAGTACTTCATCAACACTGAATTACTTGGGTGGGAAAATTTACCGTGCTTGTACAGAATGTTTTAAATATTTCAATCTGATTGTCATGTTGTGATGTCTATAATTTATTCTCATTATGTTTGAGGAGAAAAATACTATACATATATATATAAAGATAAGGCAAATGGGGCAAAATATAAACTACTAGTAAATACAAATGAAGGGTAGGTACACAGGTTTTCATTGCACTGTTCCTTGTGAACCTTTGAAATCTGTCAAAATATTAAATTGATTCGGAAGAGTTGTTTAATGGATTCAGGTACTGTCAACTTGATCTATGCATTATAAATTTTACCAGTAGTGAATGATGATCAATATCTAGATTCATTACTTCATTAGTGGAGATTTACCTTTCATTTATATTGACCAAGAACATGCCAACTGAGACCAAGGAGATAAGGAAATAAGGTTTTAGGCTGTTTACTATACACTTGCCTATAATTTAATATTAAGCCTGATGTAAAACTAGCTCTGGGCACAATCCCTGGCCATAATACCTAAGTCTGGTTTCATGTATACATAAACCACCTTGTTTCACTTAAATGTCTCTCCCTGCATCTTTCAGAAGATTTAGGTTTAAACCTGAAGAACACATTTAAGAGTTTTAAGAAACATTAACATTGACTTCTCTGAGAATCTCCGGGAGAAAAAACTCATTGAAAAGATGATTTTCTATTCAGCCTTTTAATACCAATTTAGTAGTTACATATACATGATACATTTTTCATAATCACTATTTTTATACAGTTATTATTTAATGCTAGATTATCTAGCATTGCCAAATCTGTCCTTAGGGAAGGAGATTATAAAGGATAGATAAGGTGGACAAAGATAAAAATAAGCAGACTTGATTTCTGTTATATATACTTCTCAGATAATACAAAATTCCATGTCTGTCTGTAATGCCTTCAAAGTTAAGTAAGTACAAAGGCAGGAGGTAAATGAAGAAAAAAGGGGAGAAAAAAGAATATGATACACTGATAGATTAAGCCAAAACTGACACCAGCAACATTACATATAACAATAACATTTCACCTTTCATGTTTTGAGGAAAAGATTCATTTTGTTTTCTTCCATCACCTCTGAATTAAGATAAATAATGCTCCATGCTTAACATCTAGAAACTATGCTTCTATGATTTGCCAAGTTTCCTGTTTTCTAGTTATACATTTATCCAATAACCTTTGTGTTTCCCACCATTTTATGGTAAAATATGAGTAGCAAGTAAATGAAATGCATTCAAATAATAGTAACATCAGTGTTATCCAAAATAAATAGTGGAAACAAAGATGAAAAACAAAAGATGGTTTGGTCTTTAATAAGCGGGGATAAAAGACAAAAGTCTAATAAAAAGTAAAATTAAAAAAGTGGCAAGTAAAACGAATGGTGAGATTTTGCGTGGGGAATGTGTGTGTGTTGACGATTTAGGGTCCAAAAAAATGTTCATGGAACTGGGTTTGAAGAGCAGACAGATTTGGACATATAAAAAGAAAAAGCCAGTGCATTCCAAGCAGAGTGAAGCACCAAATAAAGCAACAGAGTAGGGTAAGCGTGTGCATGTATACATATACAAACACGTAATGACTGGAGTTCAGTCTGGGGAGAAGCAGTGGGACTTAAGTTTGGGTATGAAAGCCTCTGACAGAGCAAAGAAGCTCACATTTTGTTTATTAAGCAGTGGTGAGTCAGAGGTTTCAGAGGACATTAAAATGTAGAAATATAAGAAACATAAAACTAAAGAAAATTAAACATTTAAGAAAAATAAAGTGACCCTATTATATATGCATATGTTTATCAACTATATGCAAAACAGTATTATATACTGTGCCTTTGTATAGATTTCATGATGGAGTCTCCACTTACATGCTCCTCAGTTACGTTCTATTCACCATTCTTCATTTTCCAAGTGACAAGCAATTGATAATTTTACAGGATTTTCTTTCCATTCTGTATCACTTTACAAAGTATTTTTTAATTTACTTAAATTGGAAAAGCAACTTTACGTACACCAAATTCTCACACTTTGCTTGAATGAGTCCATACTTAGACTTGATAAAGACAACACACTTCTGTATTTCAAGGCAACAACACAGAAATCTGATTGGCATTTTCAGTCACTGGGCAGAGACCAACATCTGTGCCTTTCATACACAGTATCAATGTCCGAATTGGCCTGAATAATTAGCTGGACATGAATACTTTCTTTCATTCCGACGATTTTGCCTAGCCTTATGACTAGAAAAAACAAACTTCTATTACATAATTGAGTTCAATATTTTTAACCACTGAAAGTGCAGTAAATTGCTTGAAACTATACAAAAGAAAATACAAATAATGGCATTAAATATTTAAGTTATAAAATTTTAATGTAAAATACAAAGATTCTACATAAAATGTCTATATAATGTTCTGCAATACATTAAATCCTCAACTATTTTGTTTATTATGTTTACACATTACTGGAGAAACACTAGGAAGAGCAATTTTTATTTTCCACTTTGAATTAGCAGTACCATCTATTCTATAAATTTACCACAGAATATTTTGTTTTAATCTCCTGAATTTATACCTTTATGTTCTTTTATTTCTAGCATCCTGAGGCTTATCAAGCAACTCTCAAAATATCCTCCAAATTTTAGTGATTCCTTTTCCTCTTCTATCTAAAACCCATAAATTTTACAAAAATTTCATTTCGCTTTCAGTACCTTATAGAGGTAATAATAAAACTGATATTCTCAAGTAATATTAGTATTACTTGAGCAGTAATACTAATCTTCACACAGTTCATACGTTTAATAGTTCACAAACTTTCAAGCATCCATTAATAATTTTATTAATCTGTTGTTCAATAGTGGTTTAACACAGCATCACTATATGATAGCCAGATCTAATTAAATAAAACTACTGGTACTAATCAATACTTTTTAAAAAGGGCATTCATATATAAAGCAATTATGGAGAAACCTCAAATTGGAAAACTGAACTCATTTCAATTAGTATGGATTTAAATTGCTCAAAATAAAAATGAAATACTTAGATGTAAGTCTAACAAAATATGTACAGGATTGATATTCTGAAAACTACATAATACTTAAGAAAGAAGTTAAAGATGATCTAAATAAATGGAGAAACCTAAGTGTTCATGGGTTGGAACACTTAACATAGTAAATCTATCAATCCTCCCCAAATTCATGTACAAGTTTAATGCAGTTCCTATCAAAATTCCAACAAGACTTTTTTGTAGATAAACATAGATTATTCTAAAATTTATTTGGAAAAGCAAAGGAACTAAAATAGCTAAAACAATTTTGAAAAAGAATAAAGTAGGAGGAATCAAGCTACCCGATTTCAAGACTTACAACCAACTATAGTAATCAAGAAATTATGGCATTGGTGGAGGGATAGACACAAAGATCAATGGAACACAACAGAGAATCCAAAAATAGACCCAGCACATATGACCATGTGTGAGATGTTTTCTTGCTTTCTGAAACAGTATACTGTATATATGTACTATATATTATACCCTATGATAAAAGTGTTGCCCTCTGGGGCCCTTTTGCCCCTGAAGAGGCTCAGATTTCATTCTTTCATATTTTTCTGTTTGCACAATTAGTTGCGTACAGTCTTTATTGATATCTGGGTATAAAGTAACAACAATCCTCCCTTCTAAGTTTTTGCTATACTCTGAATGGTCAGAGTTGATAGCAGTCTGACCTCTAGATGAACACAGAATGTCTGTATAATATAAATTTGATGCTCACCTGGAAGTTGTTCATAAGGCCATAGGAACAAGGATTGCTTTCACAAGATGAAAAGTCAAAGTTTAATTTGCAGGCTGCAGAAGTACAGTTTGTTAGCTCTGTTACAATAGTGTCATTAACGTTCCCCGTAGCATCCCGAACAACACAAGAACCTGAAGCACAAGTGACAATGAGGACAAGAAATCAAACTAATGCTTACATTCATTTCAAAATTATACACACCCATAAAGAAATTACAGTGCTGACTGTATACACTTGCTTATTATAGCATACATTGTATTTACAATTAAGAAAGGTTTACCTGGAACAGAATTTGGAAAGCATCATGGTCCTCAGTATTAAGAATTATTTGGAATAACGTACGATGTACAACTAACAGTAATGACCATTCCTTAGAGTTCATATATTCTTACTTTTGAAGCACTTTAACAATGCTTTCTCATCATATATGATGTAAAAATCACAGGCATTACAACAAAAACTAAACAATAAAACAAAAATTAAGTTTTGAAAGGAAGAGTTTTTTTAATGACTAGATAGTCTGTATACAGTTCTTCATACTTAAATTTCTTCTTTGGACTTTCAGAGCAGTGTTTGCAAAACCATCTCCTTAAAGGTACTCCTGAAACCACTGGAGGTTGAGGGCAGAATAGAGAGAGCCCTATCTAACCTTAAAGCAGCTATGCTTTTATAGTTCATATTTTGATGTTCTCCATCAGAATTGTCTGGGGAAAAAAGGTTCCACTGCTTGAGCTAGTTACACAATTACTAGTGTAGAGGTGATCTTTACTGACTCCGCTACTGAGTATCAGAGAGAAAGGGCTACTCCTGTTGCCCTAGTGTACACAGAATGAAATGAGTACAAGGGCAAGCATTACTGGAGCGTCAGATAATAACAGAAATGTTTTCCTGCAATAACAAATTATTTCCCATGAAACATAATCAGTTATATCATTTTTTAAATTAAAAGTAAATTTTCTAGCTTATGTATAATGTATATAAACAGCAGTCCCCAATTTTTTTGGCACCAGGGACTGGGTTCGTGTAAGACAATTTTTCCATGGATGGGGTGGGGATGGTGGTGGGGTGGGGTGGTGGTGGTGGATGGTTCAGGCAGTAATGCGTGCGATGGGGAGTGGCAGATGAAGCTTCACTCATTCACATTCCACTCCCCTCCTGCTGAGGGGCTGGTTCCTAACGGGCCGCGGACCAGTACCGGTCTACAACCCCGGGGGCTGGGGATCTCTGTATACAAGCATGCTAGAAACTTTTAGGGGAATACAAAAATATTTTGCTAATAAGCTTATAAATGTAATTCATTTTCTTTTTTCAAAATGAATTTCAGGAATTTCTGTGTGCATTGAAATGATAAATGTAATCGAGTTACTTTTTCAAATGTTAACATAGCCCACCATGATATTATTAGCATTTCTAACTCTTGTTTAATAAAATTTCAAAATTACATTTATGCAAATTAGCAGCTCAGTTTGTAAAAACAGTTCTGTCATTACTTCCCAACACAATGATTGAATATATGGCAAAAATAAAAATTTTCTTACTCAAATACATGGAAAATTTATATTCTGTAGTCAATGAATTTGGAGTTTGTAATTCTGATTAGTACTAGACTAAGATTTATTCTTGTAGTATGCTTAAAAATTTTAACTGTAAAACCTGAATTTTAGAATTTAGATATTAAAGACAATGCTTACATTTTAAAAACATGTTTTCTGGGTAAACTATGTACTTTCATGAATGTGTACTAAATTCAAGACAAGACAGTATCTACAGTCAATGTATGCAAATTATATGTAAAATCAGTAGTTACTAAATTTTTTTCTGTACTATGTTTCAGTTAAGAACCTCCTATTATAAATAGCCTTTTAAAATTATTTATTTATTTGCTTATAAATAAATAAAACACCAAAACCCTCTTTGCCATGAAAACAGTTTTTTAAAGGAAGTGCCATTATCATAAGGTTGGTAACAAAATCTCTGACCTTTGACTTCCTCATCTATAAAAGATTTAGAGACTGGCTGATCACTTAAGTCCTTTCTTCAAGTTCTAAAATGTTATGATTCCATGAATGTATTAAGTGGCTTAAAACCATTTTCATTAATTTAATAACACTTTTCATTCAATTCCTGTGCATTGAAATTAGGTTTTATGGTAAAAAATGCCAGGTATTTCTTAACAGCCTTGAAACAATCTTCATACAAGATTACATAAAAATATAAAATAACCATCATAAACAAAAATATTCCAAAATTTGTAAAGCTCAGAAAGTAAAATGCATTTACTTCTACATATGAATTACATTTTCTGTAAATATATCTCAGTGAAATTTAAGAATCTGCAGATAAGATTTTACATAACTTTCTAGCTTACTAATTAATAGAAATCCTAAAGGAAAAACCTTAGAGCATTTAGTGACTTAGATAATGTCTACAGAATCACCACTAGTTTACTTAAGTATTTTTGAAAATGCAAAACTTAGAATCTTTTTATTGAAATATTTCTTAATTTAAAAGTTAGAAATAAATGTCATGAAAATGAATGTTTATAGTATGTACATCATTAAATTTCTGAAACACATAACAAATGTAAGGTTATTTACCTACAGATACTGCAATTCCTATGTAAACCACCGTGGTAATTAAAATGGCTAAGAGTGTTCCTTTGGGTATGGCTGACTGAGGATCCTAGAAGACAAGAACATTTTTTAAGTCTACCTTTAAAAATAAATATATGTATATCACTTTTTGTATAAAATCGATACAGCATTTTATAATACTTACTGCGAGATCACCTGAGATATTTGCTCCAGCCAGAATACCAGTTGCGGCAGGAAAAAAGATGGCAAACACAGAAAAAAAGGTCTCTTCCTCTCGAAAATCTGGCCCAAAGTTCTCATTAAATATTTCAGCTGTAGAGAACAAAATATTTTTGGCAATTAATGGATAGCAGATTAGACCATGATAATTTAGGTTAAGAATAAGTGTTTATCTAAGACCCCTGACTTTTCTTCAGCTCAGGTAACTGGTAAATTCTTGAATTATTTCCTAATTTCTCTTTTCTTATATGAGGGAAATGGTTTACATTCAAAATGATTTGACCTGGTTCATGCCCCACTATTTTTTATACCTTACTAATTATGTTTCAAGCACCTCTAACTTGATTGTTATCTCTCCGAGAGGTCAAAGAAGCAAGAAAGCAGGCAGAAGAACAAAAGGGACATAAAACAAACCTGGAACCACATTTTTCCTTACATCCAGCTTATATTCTATCTATCTGTACAGCTTTCTCTATTTCCTAGTGGTGACTTGTTTGACTTTTGAGGCTATTCATCAGGCATCCAGATAATTTGTAGCTAAGACAAACCAGGTAAAGGTCCTTTCCATTTCAACAATAATGAAAGCTTCAACTAGTCCTGCTGTTTCCATCTATTCTGATAGGCCCTGACACTGAAACAACCAATTAACGGTCATCCATCCATCCATCCATCCATCCATCCAATATTTGCATATACACCATGTGCCAGGTCCTATACTGGAACCATCCAGTATCTCAAAGTATTGAGAGATCCAACAGCAACAAGCTACCTTCATGGAACTTAAGAGTATCAATGAGGAGCTACAAAATAAGTTAAGAAAAAGGTCACTGCAAATAGCAGTAAATGTACGGATGGAAACAGGGTGTTGTGATAAATAATGAAAGAGAGACAATCTAATCAATGTGGTTACAGAAGGCTAAAGAGATACAACTAAGGAGCTAACACTTAAGCTGAGGCTTTACTGAGCAGGAATCAGCCATGTGATGTTCCAGGAGAAAGAGTACACCAGGAATAACCAACAACATGTAGAAAGGCCCTGAGGTAGGAAAAAAGTTTACCTCTTTTGAAGAACTAAAAGAATGCAAAGCCCTCACAGTAAGGGGGAGATGAAATGAGATGGAAGGGATCAGCAGGGGTAAGATTATGCAAAATTTTAATTTTATAGGAGTTTAGATTTTGTCCTATGCCAAGGTGGGCGTAGAACCACACAACTGGCATGATGTTTATGTGGATGCTGCATGGACAGTGGACTGAAAGCATCAGCATCTGAAGCAGGGAGACCAATTAGGAGGTACTGCAATGGTTCAATCTAGTGATGGGAGAATAATGTACTGATTAGAGAAGGATTAGTAAGTAAGAGGACAAGTAGAAAACACTGAAATCCTGGTTTGTTTCACTTACTAGGATGGAGAGGTCTGAGAACGGTTAGGTAGGAGGGACATCAAATAAACAATTGAATGTATACCTATATCTGGAGTTTAAAGGAGAGATGCAGGAATAGAAACATGTGAATCTCTTGAGAGCATTTTGAGCTATGAGAAAAGATATTGCCAAAGGAAAGAATACAGTTAGAAGATGCAGGACAACACTCTGTGCAACTCTGACATTTAGAGGATGGAAAGAAGAGAAAGGGTAACAGGAGTAACAGATATAGTGACCAGTGAATTAGGTAGAAAAGAACTCACTAGAACACAGTGACTGACATCAAATAAAACAAGAAAAGTGTTTCAAGGAGAATGGGACAACTAAATATAATGTTGCTGAGAGTCAGAAGACTAAAAAACTGCATGCTGTGTCTAGCAACATGTTATTGTGACCATGCCAGAGAGAAGCCAGTTAATAGGGGTTGAGAATGAATGAAATAAGACCATTTGGTGAAAGTAACATGGGGAATAAGTTACACACGGTCTCAATGTATCTCTCCACAAACTACTTATTAATTACAAAGAAGAAAGTGGCAACCTAACAACAGATAAAACTCTCAGGTAGCACTTTCACCAAGTCATTAAATTTAACACCATCAGTGATGGGGAAAACTGACATCATGTGAGTCTCCTGATGTGAGGCTCTGAAGACACACTCTTCATGTAGTGTTCTTGGCAAAAGTAAACAAGTGAATCTATGGAAATCAAACAAAACCAACTGGAGGGACGTTCTAAAAAAAGTAA